TTTTCCATCCACATTACATAAAATGAGGAAACCAAAGATGCCTAGCTGTACACACATCACGTGAACTGAGTTAGCTGCTATTTGCAATTGTTCAATTAAATAATATTAATAATAATAAATTGAATAATTGTTCACTTATGATACACTTTGTCAGTAGCTTGTACCTGCGGTTGTTGATCAATTAGTACACTGTAAGAAAAATGGAAAAGATACTAGTAATTTTCCAGGATATTATCCATTGTAACCCTGTAACCCGAAAACACAATGCGTAATTTAAAATGCAGGTAAAAAACCAATATGGAAAATTCTTTCATATTAGCAAAGTAGATTGTGCCCTATTTTTTACAGACTTTTCTTAGAGTGTAGCATACTAACTAACTACTAATACACTGCTTAAAGCATAACTGCTGAGAATGTGTAGTATTACTATTTGACTAGCTATTAAAAAAAACTTAAATTGTAATCATTCAAAAATGTGTAAGTGTTCAATAATTCAATGTATTTAAAAATACAGTTATTTCTATTTTAATATTATATTATGCATCAAATCAAAATTAACATATATAAAATATATATTTTTGCTGAGATTTGATGTTGATTACGCAATGCCGTCATCGCGCAATGCCGTCACAAAATCATTTTTCAATGCTTTATTTATTCAATGCCACAAGCACAACAAGTGTTACATATTCACATGATCAAATTAACATTAGCTGCCAGAGAAAATAGAAAAGAGAGAAAAAATGAAGAAGAAAGCGACAAATTTCAATGCTTTCAGAGCATTACGTTTTCAATGCTTTTTTTGTTTCTTCCAAGAGATTTACACAAAGTCATTTATAAAATGTGAAAAATGTGGTTTACATTGAGCCCGCCTCTTCTTATGCGTATGGAATTTTCCTAACAAAATAAACAAATGTATAATATGTTGTTCTTTACAATTCAAATGTTCGTTTTCTGTATACAAAAAGCACATCAAATATCATCACAAGGTCACTTTTAGCAACAAATGGACCTTCCTTTAGTAACTTTCTCTGGCAACACTGCGGGGTCATGATGCTATTCTGGCTGTAGATGGAGGCAAACCATGTTCCGTTTCGCTTTGGCAGCGCGCCGGAGTTTGGGATCCAGACCCTGGGAAAAGAGCAGCTTTACCCTTATAAGGCCACAATCCATCCGCTCTGTTTTCCCCAGACTTTTCCTCTCCACCCTCCCTCCCTCTCTCTCTCAGGCCGCAGGGATATTTACAGCAACACTGGCTCGGCGTACCTTATTAGGAGCTGTCCTTGTTGTCAGTGTATATGTAGATGAGACAAACAGATGAGAGGATGGCATTCATTCTCAAGGGTCATGTAGTTTGATGTCATCGCGCAATGCCGTCACAAAATCATTTTTCAATGCTTTATTTATTCAATGCCACAAGCACAACAAGTGTTACATATTCACATGATCAAATTAACATTAGCTGCCAGAGAAAACAGAAAAGAGAGAAAAAAATGAAGAAGAAAGCGACACAAATTTCAATGCTTTCAGAGCATTACGTTTTCAATGCTTTTTTTGTTTCTTCCAAGAGATTTACACATAAAGTCATTTATAAAATGTGAAAAATGTGGTTTACATTGAGCCCGCCTCTTCTTATGCGTATGGAATTTTCCTAACAAACTAAACAAATGTATAATATGTTGTTCTTTACAATTCAAATGTTCGTTTTCTGTATACAAAAAGCACATCAAATATCATCACAAGGTCACTTTTAGCAACAAATGGACCTTCCTTTAGTAACTTTCTCTGGCAACACTGCGGGTCATGATGCTATTCTGGCTGTAGATGGAGGCAAACCATGTTCCGTTTCGCTTTGGCAGCGCGCCGGAGTTTGGGATCCAGACCCTGGGAAAAGAGCAGCTTTACCCTTATAAGGCCACAATCCATCCGCTCTGTTTTCCCCAGACTTTTCCTCTCCACCCTCCCTCCCTCTCTCTCTCAGGCCGCAGGGATATTTACAGCAACACTGGCTCGGCGTACCTTATTAGGAGCTGTCCTTGTTGTCAGTGTATATGTAGATGAGACAAACAGATGAGAGGATGGCATTCATTCTCAAGGGTCATGTAGTTGTTCGTCAAAGGTAACGAGAGGCAAATGTCTGATCTGTGCAGCACGTGTCAGAATCCCATTCAGAAGTGTCTTTTTAACGCTCTCTGGCCCTCAGGATTCTCTCTTCTCCTCTTATCTTTCTCTTGACCTTCTAAACAAGGTGTCAGTCGAGAAGAACTAGCCACTGAACGAATCATTTTGCCGTTCGCTCTCACTCGGTCTGGTTTTACTGTAACTTCCTGTCCTTCTCTCTGTGGGAATGTTGGATCCATTATTCCAGCTGTTCTTCTTTTTTTCCTCTGCTATCTGATGAAGAGGCACATCTGGTAGACATGCACACAGCATTAGGGAGAAGTCCTGATGACTTAATACTGCTAGTGTTTGAACATGATGGCCAGAAATACTGAATCAACTCTAGAAATTCAACTTTCAAGCGTGCATATATTACACACCAAACTGCTGAAGTTGTGCCGAAGAATTTTAAACGAAAAGTAGACAGAAAGGATGAATATGAACAGCGCTGGGTAGCTGTTACTGATTCTAAATTACATGACAAAAATTGCAGTTAGTAACAGATTACACATTTTAGATAGTACTACTTTTAGATTACTTTTGACCCAACTCATTCATCACATTGATTGAAATAGGATATCCTTGTACCATATTGATATAAAAACTAGTGCTGTCAAACGATTAATCGCGATTAATCGCATCCAAAATAAAAGTTTTTGTTTACATAATATATGCGTGTGTACTGTGTCTATTTATTATGTATGTATAAATGCACACACATGCATGTATATATTTAAGAAAAATATGTTACGTTTATATATTAAATATATTTATATATAATATAAATTATATTAATATAAATATATACATGGAAATATTTTCAAAATATATAGTGTGTGTGTGTGTATTTATATATACATAATAAATATACACAGAACACACAGATATATTTTGTAAGTAAAAACATTTATTTTGGATGCGATTAATCGTTTGACAGCACTAGTAAAAATACAAAGAGAATGAAAATACATTCCATTTGTTGTTATTAATGAAACACATTAAACATTACGTCAAGATTTCCCAAACTGGACTTCGTGAACGAATTGCATGAGATTAATGTAAAGCTAATAATTAATCATAAAAATAAAAAAATTAAATCATTGTAAAATAACAGCAATCAAGCGCTTATTATAAAAGTTGGAATATTTAATTTGTATACCTACACGTCATGTGACCATTAACCAACTTCAGAGAACTGTGAACATGCAAATGTTCATAAATCCAGTGGGCAAAATTATAGTCACCTGACTAGTACCTGAATGTTTAAAGGCAATTTTAGAAAGAAAAATTTTAAAGATGAAAACAAAAAAATGATAGAGAATCAATGAATTCTGAATAACTTATTACTATTGTGTTAATAGGATGTAATCAATAAAAAAAGTTACTGTAGTCTGATTACAAGTACTTTGCAAGTAATTTTTGGAGTCTGATTACCTAATCCAGATGACATGTAATCAGTTTCTACCCAGCACTGAATATGAACATGAATGTATAAATGTGTGTATGATGTCTAAAAGCAATAACTAGGTCATTTGAATTAAATATTTGCATGTGCCCATGATGAATCTTCAAATCAATCTTTTAAACTTGCACATATGATGCTCAAAAGTATTGAATCGAATCTATAAATCAAAATGTTAAACTTATCAATTTAAACACACGTCAAAAATGCAACATACTCTATGTCCAGAAATGTTAAATACAAATATGTTTTATTGACAGAAATGTTGAGACTCAATCGAATGCTCTTATGATGAACAGTTTGAATCAAATGTATATGATGCCTAAAAATTCTGAATATGAAAACTTTGGTTGTGTTGTTTAGTGCACTGACCTTGAGCTCAAACGACTTGCTGAAAAATAATAATCAAATTAATATAATTTTTTGTTTGTTTGTTTTATGTTGTAGTTTAAAATTTGTATTTTGTTTGACCACTGACCAGGGGAGGTCAATTATGTTAATTATATTATTAATATTAATGTTATTATGATTGTTTTTAGTATTATATTACACTTTTTAAATATATTATTTTGGTTTTTCTTTTTTTGTTTGTCAAATTTAAATGAACCATATTTTTCTTTTACATTGTTTTGATTGGCCACTGACCAGGGACTGTCAGTTATGTCAATGAATACTCAAATAAAACACAAACTGCCGTCTTACACAACAATAAACCTCAGCAGAGAAACCGTCAAATGTAAAAAACCCAAAAAAACAAGCACTAGTCTACAAACACATTTTATTAAGTGCCAACATTCATTCAATATATCAGAAAAACAACACGTGGAGAAAATTAAGTCGATATTAAGTTACAGTTTATAGCGTTATGAGTTCAAATGCATAATATTTGTACATTTACACAATAAACAAAGCCGTCGCCCTCGCTTCAGAAGACGCAGAGAGCACGGATGATTCAAACAAAGGTAAAAACCACAAAAATAGACATTTCCTCATGGCTTGCCGGAAAAGATACACGGCACAGCTGGCGTGTTTTCGGTGTTTTCAACGAATGATTGTCGCGCTGGTTTCTGGAGTCGATGGATTGGAGTGACATGTTCAGACCACCTTTAGTGGAGTTTAGGGTTGAACCTCTCCATTTTGTGTGTGTGTGTGTGTGTGTGTTTGTGCAAAGATGCAAAAATACTGCAGACGTCAGCTGCCTGAGACTCGTGGAATGTGTGTGGAGTGTGCGCGCTCACGCTTATGGGAATGTGCATGGTGCATGCGTCCCTATACGAGTGCGAGAGAGTGTGTGTGTGTGAGAGAGAGAGAGAGAGAGAGAGAGAGTGTGTGTGTGTGAGAGAGAGAGAGAGAGAGTGTGAGAGTGTGTTTGTACATTTACACAATAAACAAAGCCGTCGCCCTCGCTTCAGAAGACGCAGAGAGCACGGATGATTCAAACAAAGGTAAAAACCACAAAAATAGACATTTCCTCATGGCTTGCCGGAAAAGATACACGGCACAGCTGGCGTGTTTTCGGTGTTTTCAACGAATGATTGTCGCGCTGGTTTCTGGAGTCGATGGATTGGAGTGACATGTTCAGACCACCTTTAGTGGAGTTTAGGGTTGAACCTCTCCATTTTGTGTGTGTGTGTGTGTGTGTTTGTGCAAAGATGCAAAAATACTGCAGACGTCAGCTGCCTGAGACTCGTGGAATGTGTGTGGAGTGTGCGCGCTCACGCTTATGGGAATGTGCATGGTGCATGCGTCCCTATACGAGTGCGAGAGAGAGTGTGTGTGTGAGAGAGAGAGAGAGAGAGAGAGAAAGAGAAAGAGAGAGAGAGAGAGAGAGAGAGAGAGAGAGAGGGAAATAGGGAAATCTGAAGCTCCGCTGATGAAGTTGGATGAAATTCAAACACGCCACACGCACAGGAAATTAAAAGATCAGGGCTAACTGTGAGCTGTCATAAAACAGTGACACTCTCCTCCTCTCTTGCATTCTTTGGTTCTTGGGAAGGATGTCGGGGTGGTACGGTTTCTCTTTCTCTCTCTCGGTCTTCATTTGGAGAGTTTGCTGATGACTCTGATGAGCGCGCCGTTCTCGTCCTTCAGCCTCTGGTTGTCGGCTCTCAGATCCCCTAAAACCTGTGCGACAGACACACTCCAGTTCTTAACAGCTGTCAGAGGCGGCATTTAAAGGGACAGTTCACAGTAAAGTATAAATACTGACACCATGTCATTCCAAACCAAGGAAACAGGAAATACAAAAGATGTTTTGAAAAATGTTCAAGCAGCTGTTTTCCAAATAATGTAAGAATACAGAAGACAGTGAGCTGTCAAGCTCCAAAACTGTAGTCCATACGATTCATTATATTATCATAATATTATATTATTTTTGTTTTATATTTTAGTTTGATTGGCCCCTGACAAGCACTATCAATTATTAATTGTAATTAATCAATCAAATCAATATTAATTACAATTCACAAAATTGATCTTAATATAGTACTTTTGTTTTACAATTAATTTAACTTGACCACTGCCCAAGGACTATAAATGATGTATTATTAATAACATTGTATTATTATTATTATTAATAACAACAAAAATAATTCATACTCGTATACATACATAAAAAAAAAAAAACTTTATTATTGTTTGACATTTTAGTTTGATTGGCCACTGACCAGGGACTATTAGTTATGTCTATTACATATTAAAAATGGATCAAATTAATATTAACAATAATAATTAATACAATTGAAATTAACATATTTTTGTTTTTTGTCATTTAAATTTTTTCAAACACTTTGTGTGGCTTCAACATGAGCTTTTGCAATTGTGATATTTATATTATATTATATTAACAATATATTTTATAATTTTTTTCATATTATTACTTTCTCTTTTTTTTATGACCACTGACCAAGTGGTATAATTTATGTCAAGTGTATATTATTAATAAGTGATCAAATAAATATTATTAATAATAATTAATAAACTTAATATTAATGTGTCATTTTTGCTTTACATTTTATTTTATTTTGGCGGCTTGATCGGTTTCAAACTTTTAAGACTTTAGTGAATTTTGATCAAATAGTTTGTAAAAGGTGTTTTCTTTTCATTTGAACAAGTTTGTGTGCATGTCATCTCATATCCAAAAAAAAAAAAATTTGGTTAATTACTTTTCTCATTGATTTCAAACCTACAAAGCTCACATTCTACAGAGCAAAGTCATACAGGTTTGGAGCAACATGAGGTTGAGTAAATGATGCCAGAATTTACCACTCCTAACCAGGTATGACATGACAAGTTTCCAGTTTCAAGTAATTTTTCTGTTCTCAATAAGAGTAAAAATACAGTGCAGTGCTACAAACTCACAGCCACAACACAGAAGCTGATGATTAATATACTGAAGAAATGGAAACCAGGTGACTAAACTCACATTAACATGGCAGAAGTGTGATTAATCATATTTGTCATGCCTGGTTAGTGTGTAAGACAAATGCTTCGTTAAACTGGTTTTACTCGTGTTGGCTGAACTGCTCTCAGGGATAAATATATGCATTCACAACATTTCAGTGGACAGAAACGCTTCAGGAGCCTCTCAGCCAATCAGCAATCTGAGTGAACGAGAGCCAATCAGAACAAGTCTTCCGTGATCACACGCTCTCACCTTCAACTCCTCTTCCAACTCAGCGGCACGTCTCTCTAACATCCTTTTCTCCTGAAACGCAGAGAAAACGAGCATGTGGAGTGACATCATTAGATTGAAAACATCTATAACATATACAGTAATGCTTTTCATTAGTTCAGCAGAATTGTGTTCTGTAAACTCACCTTCTTTTCCATTTCCAACAGAGCCGTGCAGTCCGTGAATCTCTCCTGCCGCTGTTAAAAACACAAACACAGGAGTCAAATATACTGCTATATGGTATCACATTGATATTGAAAGAAAAATGTATCAATATTAGTGTTTTTACAGTACAGTCATTCAAGTATGAAAATATCTGTGTGCATCTATTAATTCATATATATATATATATATATATATATATATATATATATATATATATATATATATAAATAAATCCAAATGTAAACTAAAACAACCTAAATACACACACACTCGAATAGCTTTTATTTATACTATATACAGTGGGTACGGAAAGTATTCAGACCCCCTTAAATTTTTCACTCTTTGTTATATTGCAGCCATTTGCTAAAATAATTAACTTAAATTATTTTAGCAAATGGCTGCAATATAACAAAGAGTGAACAATTTAAGGGGGTCTGAATACTTTCCGTACCCACTGTATATATATACTGCATGTATAGACACATTACTTTATATATAACATATTTCAAAAAGTGCGTTTTTTTCCTAAAATGTGTCTATATCATAGTTTAAAAGTATGCAATTTTTTTATAAATTTTTATTTCAGTTTTACTTTGTTTTTTTTAGTACATCATATTAAACTAAATGAAAATGAGAAATGTAGAAACAATAAAATAAGCTTAAGTGTGTTACAATATTTTATTTTAGTTGAAGTTTATTTTATTTCTAGTAACGAAAATGTAAAATGTTTTTTTTAATGATTTTGGTAGTTTTAGTTATTATAATAACCCTGAGATATAAATATTGTGTATTTATTGTGTATTTATTTACATTTTCGTTTCTAGAAATATAATAAGCTTCAACTAAAATTATTAAATTATTTAACTTAAGTTGTATTATATATGATATAATAATAATACTAATATTATAAATATAGTCATAGTATATAAAATAGTACTAAAAGCAGCATTGGAATGTCTAGGGACTTCACTTATATTTTTATCAGTTTTATTTTACATTTGATTACCTTTGTATTTTTCTTAATTTCCCAATGCTTACATTAATATTTAATATTGTTAGTATCAAATATTAAAGTAAGCATTGAGAAATTAGATACCTTTAAAAATTTTAATTTTATGAATTCTTTGATTCTCTGCTTAAAAAAACAAACAAATGGATGTTAGGATATGCTTTTATATGCTTGATCAAAAGTAATACTTTTCCTACAAGAAAAAAAGAAAGTATATATTTAAGTAAAGTATTTCTGAAACTGCTATCATAGTAATCCGACACACGTGTGTGTGTGCGTGCGTGTGTGAGAGTGTGGGCGTGTGTGTGTATGTGTGTGTGCGTGTGTGAGTGCGTGTGTGTGAGTGCGTGTGTGTGAGTGCGTGTGTGTGAGTGCGTGTGTGTGTGTGAGTGCATGTGTGAGTGTGTGCGCGTGTGTGTATGAGTGTGAGTGTGTGCGAGTTTGTGTGTGTGTGTGTGTGTGTGTGTGAGAGAGAGAGAGAGAGAGTGTGTGTGTTGTGTGTGCACCTGTGTGGCCTTTTCCAGCTCCACCCGGGTCAGTGAAATGGTTCTCTGTGTGTCTGATAACTGTGACTGCAGACGGCGGTTCTCCCTGGACATCTCCTCGAACAACTGAAACACACACACGGATACAGACATAAAACACACACACACACACACACACACACACACACACACACACACACACACCTCCTGCCAACACAATCAACCAAACCACAAACCCCTGCTGACCTTCTTAAAGTCCCTGGACTCTGATCCCCTCGTGAGAATACAGTCATTCAAGACCAAATCAGACCTGAGAGGAAGGAAAAACCGAGAGAGAATGAGAAGGACTCAGACGTCACCAAACTAAGTGAAAGGTCAAAGGTCAGACTTGTACCTGCTGCTCGTGTGTCTGTCTGTCTGCATGAGGAAAACAAAATATTTCACGTCAGCAAGAAACCATAAACACATGCAAAAACTTAAAGGGGTCATAATGATGCGATTTCAATTTTTACTTTCTCTGTGGAGTGTTACAACCTCTTGGTACATAAAGAAGATCTGTAAAGTTGCTAAGACTAAAGTCTCAAATACAAATAGATATTCTTTATAAAAGTTAAGAGTTAACCACGCCTACCTAAAACGGCTCGTTCTAACACGCCCCCACATACCTACGTCACGATGTGGGAAGATTTTCATAACGCCGCCCAAATGTTCACGCAAAGAAAGAAGGCATAACTTTTATTCTCACTGTAGTATTGTTGCAGCCGCCGCCATGAAGACGCTGTGTGCTTCGTTGTGAAAGCGAAACTACTTTGTTTGGTCTTCCAAAAGAGGACGATATCCGCTTCGTCATGCCTAGAGCTGATCCGTGCTGGTCGCTGAGGAAATACATCAACTTTCACTGTGGACAAAGCGGAGTCCAGCCCCCTTCAGCTCACTCTATCCCGGCCTCAGTGCACGCTAGGCCGCTGTGCTTTTCGTTGCCAATGATGATTCAAACGCGAGTTTTGGGCAGTGTAGAGTAGCACTTATTGTTTGTTATTTCTCCGATCACAAATGCAGACAGAGTTTTATGTTTACGCGGCGCGATGCAACGCAACATGTAAAAAGACAGTATAAGTCATTATAATCAGTAATTATGTCCTCACTGGATGCAACAAATGCCTCGTTTATAATGGGTTTTAATGTTGTCTCGTCGCTCCGGCCGGGACACGGCATCACAGTATGTGAGGGGCGTAATATTTACGTCTCACGCTTGAGGTATTCGGCCAATCACAACGCATTGGATAGCTG